AGAGAGAGACGCATCGAGGCGTTAGCCAGCGACCATCGATATCGATCGATCCGATCACGATGGAATTGGCGAGCTCGTAGATAAATCAATTCCGAAGACTGATCGCGACAGACATCGGTGAACAATATCGACAAGTAATTAACTGATACCGGTACATTCCAATCACCTGTCTGCCAGTCTTCATTGGGATCGGCGAACACCAATTCGGATCAAATTAGAACGTTTTAATCGATGGAATTTCTCTGAACGTTGATTATAGCGTTCAGCGAACCTATAGACGGTTCAACGAGTGATCTCGTGCTTTGGTTAAACTTCTTTGATGAAAATTGCGTCGAGCAACCAACAGGAATTGCGTACGGAAACAATGATGCTTCGCATCGCGAGTATAAAGGTTCATACGCCCGATGAAAATAAAGAAACGAGGAAGAACCAGGGTTAGTTATACATGTGAATCAAACGGGGGGAAGGGGAGGGAGGGCAGGGGTCGATAATGAAAACGTCACGACACCGAAAGAAAATCCGTCGAAAGGAATAAAGGCCGGCTGGTTATCGAAAATTGATCAGAAGGTATCGATAGACGTGGACATTGCATTCTCGTTACAATGGCCTGGTGTACGCTCTAAGGACTCCGCTGTAAGAGAAACGAGAGGTTCGTAAAGCAAGATCGATCGGATTAAAGGACGCGCATGTGAAACGTCCGTGAAAAACTGCGTCAAAAAGACCGACAGAAGGCAAGATCAGTGTTGGTTGCTACAATGGTTTTACGTGCGACTATGAAACCGATCGTCTTCATCTTGAATGGGAAGAAAGTCATGTGCTCGAGACACATCGGGTGACTTTGAAGATCCTTCGCAGAGAATCCGTAAAAATGGAACGAGAAGAGGAGTGGTTAAAAAGAAAAAGAGAGAGAGAGAGAGAGAGAGAGAAGATGAAAGTTCCAGTTGAGGACAACGTTCAATGTTCTCTCATGGAGACACGTCGTTTGTAAACATCACTTTGGAAAGTTCGTACGGTGAAACAGCCGCATCGAAATCCGAAGAAGCGAGACTCGTCGGTTGCGCTCCCTTCATCGTTGCTCATGTTTTCGATGGACGCTGTATGGAAATCATATATGGCGAGATCATGGTGAAAATCGTCGTGAATTTTCAAGCGCCTTAGAAAGCGAGTAACTTGAGAACAAAGACGTGAAATCGTATTCAGAATACTCTGGTAGAAGGATTCCGATCATTCGTTTTCTCGCGTATTCCCAGTGTTTATTACGTCTATGTATATTTCGTATTTATTAGATAACTTTATACTTGTATTAATTTTTGTAGCTATTATTTCATTTGTGAGGATTTAGAAAAGGCTTTATTTAAATCGAAGACCGAACACTTTTTTATATTTTTTGCTCGAAGTATGTAAATTTTTTACTCGCGATTAACCTTGTAAATTATTGTAAAAAAATATTTCCTAAATTTAATCGTATATACAAAACAAACAAAAATGTACGAGTTTGTAATAGAGCATGTATCTTCTGAATACGATTCCTAATAAATGAATGCTGACACGAAGCTTCGCGACACATATTCGTATACTTTGAAGTACGAAGCCACTTAATTATACCTAAACAAAGTCACATGATTACAACAGAAGACGATCTCAAGTTCGATAGCGTGTCATTACACAACCTAATCGAAGGAAGGAAAGTTGTAAAATCGAAGGAATTTGCAAGTTCGAAAGGAACCTCGACGAGTTGACTGCCAAGAATAATCGCTCAACTGAATATTCTCCTGTTCTTCACGAATCTGGAACGTAAATGTATAACGAACTTTCCTGGACCGGAAGGAACTTTCGTGAAACTAGAACTTGATCGTGAACTTAGGCTTCAACTATTCAGGGTGACAACACTGTCTCGTACTCTTTCAAATCGCCATTCAACTGTACTTAAAACAGTCATTTAAAATTACTTCCGTATTTTTTAAATTCATATCATTGTTATTGTTCTATTCTTTTATTTTATAATTATAGTACGTTATTTTTAAAGAAAAATTGCGTACCGAAAAAAAACAAAAGATGAAACAATAAATCTTTCCCCCGACGCTGATGAATAATAAATTCAAATCTTTATGCATTAAGTTTTATGTGTTTAATTCGATGGAATGTGCTGTTGTGCTTAACCTTGCCCCAATTAAATAGCGAGTTAATCAAGAGCTTAAGTTTATGTAACTGAACGTTCACCGAGAGATCCTTCGATTTTCTGGCATCAGACGATGGATGCATCGAGAAATTGAACTAATAGAATGCTTTCGTTTATGAGAAACGGAATTATAATGTGTACCATAAAGAGATGTATTCTCACTTAACATAGAATTATAACTATATATAGTATATATATATATAT